GTCCCCTTCCACAACCTGAACTCTAACACGTTGTCTGGGAAGGAGGACATCGCCGGCATTCCTGTCCTCAGGGGAGGACATCCCAAAGGGAAGGACGTGAACCGTCTTTTGAAGATTTACTCCTGGGCCAAAGGGTCCGGGATTCTCGGGATCACCTACGGCCTCTTCGAGAAGATGGCCGGAGGCGGGAGCTCGCATAAGGAGGAGGACGAAAAGCTCCGGAAGATTCTCCTCAAGTTCTCGGGGCTCTTGGTCCTCGACGAGGGGCACACTCCGAGGAACGAGGAGACCAACATCTACAACACGCTCTCGAAGGTCGAAACGCCTCGCCGGATCATCCTCTCTGGCACTCCGTTCCAGAACAACTTCCACGAGCTGCACAACACGCTCTCCCTCGTCCGCCCCGGGTTCAGGGCGGCGGGCCCCACCGGGGCCGGCGGTGGGAGGAAAGCGAAAGCTGGCAAACTCCCTCCCAGGATGAGCAGAGGGAATGCTAATAACAACTGGGCTTCGATCACGTGCTCGGTTTTCAACGAGGAGAACGAGCGGAACGTGGAGCAGTTGAAGCATCTCATTGCCCCGCTCGTCCACGTCCACAAGGGAACGATACTCCAGGAGAAGCTCCCGGGGCTCGTCATCACCGAGCTCTACCTCAAGCTCACAGAAACCCAACAGGCTCTCCAGAACACCGTCTCGACGACGAGGTCTTTCATGGAGAGAGACAACTGGATGACGCTCATATCCGTCCACCCGTCTCTCTCCCCTGACCACCACCACCACCACCACGGGTCGCTCGAGCTCGACCCGATGCTGGGCGTGAAGACGAGATTCGTCCACGAGCTCCTCGCCCTGTGCGGGGCGAGGGGGGAGCGCGTCATCATCTTCAGCCGGCTGCTCGAGCCGCTGGCGCTCATCAAGAAACAGCTCCTCGCCTCGCAATTCTTCCGGTGGACGGAGAACAAGGAGGTGCTGTACATGGACGGGAAGATCCCGGTGAGGCACCGGCAGGAGAGGATCGGAGCCTTCAACGACCCCGAGAGCGACGCCAAGGTCCTCCTAGCGTCCACGGCGGCGTGCTGCGAGGGGATCAACCTGATCGGGGGCTCGAGGATCGTGCTCCTCGACGTCGTTTGGAACCCGTCGGTGACAAGGCAGGCGATCAGCCGAGCCTACCGGCTCGGCCAGACGAGGCTGGTGTACGTGTACAACCTGATCTCGTCTTCCTTCGAGGCGAAGAAGTACGCTTGTCAGGCGAAAAAGGACAGAATGTCGGAGTTGGTCTTTGCCGACGAGTGCGGCGGAGGGAGGAGGTCCGGCGGGGACGGGGGCGGCGGCCGGGACGTGATATTGGACGCCATGGCGGAGGATCCCAACATGTGCAGCATGTTTGAGAGGATTGTGCACCAGCCAAGGAACCAACAAATGCTGTGATTAATTTTTTCATGTTTAGTAATTAATCTAATATAATTAACAAATGGTAGTAACACGTTTTGTTTGGGTAGTCCAGACAAGCATGTTTTTGTAACAATTAGTATTTGCATAATTATGTTTTGTAAGAATGTTTTGTTATGTAGATGGGAATGGAAGGATAAATAAGTGATGGGAATGGAAGGATAAATAAGTCATTTTGAGATGGAATAGAATGTGATTTTCATTTATTCTATTTTTAGATTCAATCATTCAAACTCATGCAATATTTAGATTACATATGCAAGTGATATAAAATTAAATAGTTATATACTCCGTATTGAGTATTTTTTTAATTTTGAAAAAGCTAAAAAAATACATATAATTTTTATTTGTTTAAAATATTACTCCAATAATCAAATGTTAATTCTCTCATTAAGTTAGCTACAGAATAATATTTTAATGTCATCAGAAAACACAATTTTAAAATTTAAAAAATGTGTGAAAAAAGTTTGCAAAAATTATGTAAATTATAGGTGCACCATGCATAGAACTACTCTTGATCTTCTTTTTTTATCATGGAGTTTAAGAAATATAAAATTATGTGACTGAAATGTATGCGGAGGAGGGAATTATTTTTGACGAGCAATTTTTTTATTGAAATGAGAAGATTAATTAGAGACGTCCAAAAAAAGAAAATGGATTAAAAAGGGACAAAGAAAGCATGATTTAATTTTAGTTTTAAATTTATAAACAAAAATAATCTGTTTTTTTTTAAAAAAAATGATTTTTTCATCAGTTAATATGAGATACTTCCCCCATTTTGTAAAATTTTTTACACTTTTTTTTGGATATCTTTTTTTTTTACATTTACGTTGATGTTGATGGATATAACTGACATGAGGAAAAGTAATTGGCAGGCATAGAATCAAAGTTGAAGGCCCCCCCAAAAAAATGAAGAATTACATAGGGATGCAGACAAAGAGCCACAAACTCCAAGTGGTTGGACTTAACCGTGACCTAAAAAACATTCCCTCTACTAGGGTAGTAGAGGTCCTAGAAATGGGTAATCCTCCAAATACTTTTAGGGAGTACTCCTTCCGTTCCTAAATAAAGTTCCTCTTTCATTTTTTTTTGTCCTTAAATAAACTTCTCTTTTCCCTTAAAAACCCATTTTACCCCTTACTTTTTCATACTCTACCTATCACATCATACCTTTTTACTAATAATCTACCTATCACATCTTACTTTAACACATCACATCAAGGGTATTTTTGGAAAGTTAACACCAAAATATCCTTCCCTTAAATCCTCAAAAAGTCAAAAATAGAACTTTATTTAGGGACGAAGGGAGTATCAAATAGAGAACCAACCGAATTGAATCCAATATCATAATATTTGAATTTGTATTTAATTAATTTTTTGAATCCGAATCCGAATATATACAAATATAAAATGAATATTTAAATAATCATACTTCGTAATTTATATGTCGATTTTGAATAATTTAACTTATAATATTTCTTATACCATATCTAAAAATATTAATACATCTGTGTTTTATACAAATTATACTCCGTATTTTATAAAATATACAGAGTAACTATTAAAAATTGCATGCTTTAAATTTTTGTATTACGTTAATATCATGAAATCTTAGTAATTTAAATGCAATTTATATTATACTAGTTTGCTTGATTACTGATGTTGAAAACATGGTCTGTGTATATAAATATATTCGAATATCATCCGAATCGAATACAACTCTATTTGTAATTGTATTTGTTTAATATTCAAATCAAAACTAATATTTGAATTTGTATTTGAATAACGCGAATTCGGATCACCGAATTCGAATACAAATCACGAATCGAATTTAAAACATTTGATTTGTTTACATCCCTAGTATCAAACAAGCAAAGATTTTGGAAAAGGCAATGCTAGGGATATACTAACATGGGGTATCCCATATGTACACCGAGCCAACACGGACACACACAAACACAAAATATCTGTGCAGCACAGATATTTTGTGTCTGTGTGTGTCTGTGTTGGCTTAGTGTACATATGAGGTACCTCATGTTGGTGTACCGGGGTGTGAAGCCTCATACACCTATTCTACAAGGTGGAATGCTTCATGCACATAGACAAAAGAGAAATTTAAATAATTCATTTGGGAGATATGAGAACATTACTCCATGTTATTCTTTATTTTCTGGTAATGACTCTCTGATCCCACATTATTTGAAATATTCTCAATTTTTTATAACTCTCAGGTGCTACGTTATGCGAAATATACTTCGAGATCCTTAAAATTTGTGATATTGTACCTCGAGAGTACATTCCGTTCATTTAGGCGTTAGAGTTGAAAGCTTTTTAACTTTGAGAAACTGAAGGATTTTATTTAATTTTAATGAAATAATGATTATGAAGCTAAAATTTATATTTGTCAAAGTACCAAAATTTTTAATTCTAAAGGTCAAATAAACGGAATATACTGAAAAAATACATTACCACTAATTTTAAGGACCCCCATATTTTATCTCAAATAATATGAGACGCAAAAATTCTTACTAGAGATTGAGGATACCCAAGAATATTTCAAATAATGTGAGACTTGAGAATTCTTACCACAAAACTGAGGGTATCCCGGAGTAATTTTTTGTGGGAGATATACTCATGATGCTGCACTAGATTCTTTTCACTACATAAGCCAACTGTTGGTCATTAGTTTATATAAATGTTGAGAAAAAAGATGCAAGATTTTTTCTGTGACGTCTATAAAGTATGGGCATCTATTATATGTAGTGAAATTTGCACGGAATAAGACTAAAACATAAGTCATTTCCTAATGTAGGACTTAAACTTTTTTATTCCCTAAATAGGACTTAATAATGACCAGTGAGAAGAATAATGTCCAAGTAATGCTAAACATTTAGTTGAATAATGACTAATAAATAATGACCAGTAGTCCTACATTGAGAAATAAAAACATATGATCATATATTGAGAAAGTCATTATATTTTAGTCCTATGTATTACAAGTGATAGCAGAATGAGTTTCTTGATTTCTAAATTTGATACTAATATATTCTATATTTATGGGGAGATTATTTTGAATAATAATCCATTTACCCTAAATGACAAGAACCTTTTTTGGAAAAAACTGAAAAAAAAGTTCATTTATAGGAGTGGGTGAGCATACATATAGTCCTAAGACTTTAAATTTGCCTCTATGAGCATGTTTGAGTCAGTTTTAGGTTAAAACAGCAGTTTTTTTTGCTCAATATTTGGTACTATGGGTATTTGAGAATGTATCCCATTTAGGGAGTGACTGATTTTGGGTTCATATGGATTTTGGCTGATCTTGGCCATGTCCCCTACAACTTAACATTTCTACTAATTCTTTATTCTTGTTGGGATAAGATCAGATTAGATCAGAAATAATTTTAAATATAACTATATTCAGATAAGATCGGATCAAAATTTATTCCAATCAGATCAGGAGAAGAGAACATGGACTTTGTGCTCAAAATTAGCTCTTGATTCTAGAGAATTAAGCAATAGGTTACTAATGAAATCAGATTCTAAAAGCAAAATCAACTTATTCATTGGGGAACAACATGATGTTAAGATTGAACCTCTGCAGAATAATGAAAGGCAAATGGCTTCATCATTTACAAACAAGTGTTCTGCAATCTGACCACTAGAGGAAATGATGAATAGCCTTGTATCTTGATGGCAGTATACAAGTTCTCTTCACAATTTATATATTATTAATATCAAACATTAATAATATATATTTGGCTCTTAAATCAATTTAATGAAATGTTAAAATTAATTTTGCCTCATAAAAACACCCTACTCACCAGTTTCCATTGAAAAATCTCAGAACACTATTGGCCGACGGGTACAGAAACTTCGGCAAACCCTTCTGGTAAACAGAACACAGGGTTTTTGTCCTCCGATTCTCCTTTGATTGCCATAGCTAGGGAATACCCCAAGGCCCGTGCTACTGGCACAGCTACAGCATTTCCAACTTGTTTGTACCTGAGTGAGAGAGTAGATGTCACAATAAAGTCCCCAAAAGAAGCAGGTCTGAGGAGGGTGTGTATACACGACCGTTACACCCACCTAAGTTGCAACGAGACAGGGACAAGTACTTGTATGGGAGCGGGGTTGGAAGCGTGTAAACACCAATTTTTCAAAAAAAAACTATAAAGGATTTAGGGGTCGGGACGTCCCCGAGTATCCAACTGGAGACAAAGAATTCGTGCAACATAGACCCCTAATTGGTAGTAGAAAGGCTGTTTCCAAGAGACCCCGGTTCAAACATAGAAGTAAAAACAAACATGTAAACATAGTAAGCCCAATAACTCGAACAAAGTAAGAACATGGGCACTTGTCAATACAGCAATGACAAAAAATGTATGCCCTCATATACCTTCACATGATTAGATTTAACATAAAAAAGAGAGCTATAGAAGTCTTTGATAGAATTCAAACCACTTGGACTACAATCCAAACTTTACTTTCCCTTCACTTGGTTATTAACATATACTCTTTCCCTCCCTATAAAATTTTCCTTCTTTTACATACAAAGTTCAAAAAATGTGATATTATATGGTTAAAGTTTGTAGAGAGAAATGAAAAGTGATATTAACCAAACAATTATGCCGTTATAGGGATCAAGAACATTAATTTGAGACATCCAAAAAAAAGTAAGAAAATAAAAAAAATGGAATTTTTTAACTAGAAGTAATCCAAAATTCCAAATTTTAAGAAATTATACTAATCAATAGTGTTAGTGTATTACCTTTCTGTTATTGATCCACTTAGTTTATAGTAGTCTGGGAAACCTTGCAACCGTGCATTTTCGCGAACCGTAAGAACCCTATCTTGCTCGGGGTGTAAAATAGCCTGGCGGAATATAAATTTTAGCACATTAAGGCAATTTTGGTACAGGCCATGTCTCAAAATGCATGAACATAGATATGGTTTACTACTTGATTAAAAAAATACCCGATTATGAGGCTGAGCCCTCGTCACAACTGTGGGCACAGTTTCATCCCACCAAACCCGACCAAATGGCCTACAAACGGCGAAAATGAAAAACAATGAGAAACAAAAGTGTGGGAAAAGAGCAAAGCAAATAAGAAGACAATGCTACTAATTACTCTGTGGAAGTTCCTCCGGTAAAAGACAAGGCATAATTCGGAACCTGCAGTATAGAGAAGAGACTGATAAGGACCCAGAAGCAATTCAAGCAACAAACAAGTGAAACAATCATAAGGGGAAAAAAGATGTACTACCAGAGGTTTGCCTGAAGGCAAGTATACTCTTTCAATTGTTGGATCCAATTCAGCTTTGTTGCCACGGACAATGACGCCTTTCAAATTCCTATAGTTAGCCCCCTAATAAAATAACATGTCAAGAAATGTTGGCACTACGACACTGTTATACCGAGCATATTAATGTAACCAAATGCACTGATGAGGATATTCATATACCTTTTGTTTGGGAATCTGACATACCCTCGTATAATCATCTTCATTTAGTTGCAAGGGACAGTGATCATACAAAACATGCCCCAGATTCCCTATAATATATTGAAATTAATAATGAAAGCCAACTGTTCATAAATTTTGTAACTTGTATGTCACGAAGTAGCAATATACAGAATATTGAATAGTCATTCTGCCTTACAAAAATAATGACAATATGTCACACTAATGTCATTTCTGTAACAACATTACCTTCAATGTTACGCAAGAATAATGAAACCATCATAATCATACTATTGTTGACTATCTTGTATGAGAATTAGTTTCAGTTGATTGTCCAGATTAAAGTTGGATGCTCTTAAATTGCAACCTTTAAAGTAAGGTATGTAGGGATAATGAGATAAAAAACTGAAAGTGTTTTATGATATAAAAAGACATTTCTTAATTGCACAGAGAATATCATGTGGCTCGAACAAGTGAGATTCATGTTCTAGTAACGCCTCTTCACAATATTGACATAAAAAATTGACACATATTGTAAAATTTTAAAAAATTGACACATATTGACACATTTTTCCATCATCTCCGATGGAGCCAAAATTTCACCATTTTTTGGCTTTGGGGTGTGATGGAATAAATCAAAATGGATCTCTAAACTGTCTGCGCTTCTTTAATTAATGAAGTAGCAGTTAGTCAAGCAATGCAACTTTCGACGTTGAGCCGGGGGTCTCTTTGGAAACAGCCTCTCTACTTTCAAGTAGGGGCAAGGTCTGCGTACACACACCCTCCCCAAACCCTACTCTTGTGGGATTTAACTGGGTTGTTGTTGTTGTTGTTGTTGACACATATTGACACATATTCGTGTCCAGATTCATGTTCTAGTGTGCACTAGGTACGATCTTTATAAAATTTTAAATGTTTTGTGAGATTCACAAACATTGTCCTAACTAGTGGTTTATCTTATTAAAATTTTAAATGTTGTGTGAGATTCACGAACAACTTTGTCCTAATTAGTGGATTCCCCAAAAAAACAGAACCATGGGACAAATTGAAAATACAAGTTGGACTTACAAAATGGGATGGAAAGAGTACATGTTTGAATATTGTGGTTGTGAAAGGTCTTGTGTGTTTGTGCTTGTGCAGGCAACAATATTTGCAACTTTGAATAATGATGCATCATAAAAAATCAGCACATGTTCAACAACTATAAATTAAAAAAAATATTGTGTATCTTGCACATAACCATAAAAGAGCAGTATTATGATTTATGATATAGTACATGGGCACTCACCATCTCTTCCTAATCTTATGTATTTCTGGAACCCATTCTTAGGTTGTTCATCATATTCCATTTCATCTCTTGACTCATTATTCTTTACCTAAACAAAGAATATAAACCAATAAGCAATCAATACATACCCTTGGGAAGATGAAAATCAAGATATAGTGCTCATGTTTTTATTTGTTTGTCTAATTTGACCACCAAATCATCCAATTCAAAAAATGTATTGGAAAGATTAAATAATCTTAGCATGTGTAGTTCAAAATGTCTTCATTAAAAGCATTTGTCACTCACTTTCCACTTGGGAAAATAGTACATTGAACAGCATAATGGTAAATTGGAAAAAGGGTATATAATGTGCATAGATTTTAATGGAGAGGTAGTAGAAACAAGAAAAGTTGGTAAACCAGGACAGGTAAATATGAACGATGGAATACTGCAAACATGCGGCATAGATGTTTCATATACATGAGGAAGATCAGAGATTGCGTCACCCAGGAGAAGCTTCTTCTTTAGTCTATGACCATGTCCTTCATCATATGCCACATTATTTGACTGAATTCATTCGAAGATTGCAGTTAAAAGATAATGCAATGAGGCAAGAGGTTTATAAGAAGATGAAATCACCACTGATAGATCTACCTCAAACTCGATAGGAACAAAACCTCTCACAACAACATCATGTGTTGGTAGAGGATACTGAGGCAACTTCTGCAAAATAAGATAAGGGTCACTTTATCAAGACAATAACAGCAATGTCAATGATATACTCTACAGAAATTGACATTACTTCTGCCGGAAGTGCACCCCACAGAAAGACTCTCATTCTAAATTGTGGAAGCCCATATGATCCAGCCACCATCATTCCTAGACGGGCCTGGTACGACATCCCTACAAGTTGACTTATCGCACATCTCCCCAGAAAACCATTTGAAAACTTGACAATATCAACCACATTTTCCATCAATACAAACCGAGGCCTCAAGAAATTCACAATATCCATGAAAACTTCTAGTTGTTTGTTCTTGGGATCCTCCAATGGATTTTCACTATTCCTAAAACGATTGAAGCCGCTGATTCCTTGGCAAGGTGGGCCACCACATACGACATCAACACTCCCCTGAATCAAACAAACACTATGTGGAGTATTATAATCCAAAAACTTTGCAACAAAGAACACACTTGGTAGCAAATCACAGAGCTTTAAAACCCCTAAAAGTGGTTCAGAAACTCTCCATCTTTAAAGCAATGGCCATTTAAGAAATAGCGAAAAAGTAAATAGCTCATTCAGGAAAAGAGAACAAACTTACTGGCAAAGGCAAAATATTTGCTTTAAACCCATTCTCAATGAACTCCTTCATTTTCTGCTCACAACCACTATATCCACACAAAAGAAACTGAAGAAAACAATGTAAACAGCCACATAAACCACAATACTGATTACTGTCACAACATACCTCAGACCCTCAATGGGTTCCCATGTGTCATCAGCTTCGCCATAACCTTTCCAACGTATCTAGATGACATTCGTAAAATTTAAAGGCATAAACACAACATTTTCTGTAAAACATATCTACTGAAACTTCTATCAACCTGAAAGTGCAAGAAACACTACCTCCATCCTACAGATTCAATATTTCTCTGTTTGTTGGACTTAAAAAATCACTTTCTTTTTAGAGGTAAAAGTAGTTCACAACTCTTTTCTCTCCTCTAGCAAATTATAACATTAAAGCTTTCATTTTTTAACACTTATCTGAAATCCGTAAAAGCCAAACAAAGTTTTTTTAAGGGACAGGGGATAATTTAAGAACCTTGAAGTGCAATCCAGACTTTCCAGTTTTCTTTGGATCCCCAAAGCAAACTTCTAATACTTGTTCAACTTCATATACTTCATTGTCTGTATCACTTGTTTCTTCTTCTTCTTCTTCTTCTTCTTCTTCATTACAAATATTCAAGCAAGGATGTGGTGCTGAGTTGCTTGTTATCAAAGAGCAAGAGACACAAAGGTGTTCCCATTCCTTGAGAAGGCACAAGAAATCCTGAGCAGCTTCATTTCGGACCTAATTCAATTAAGGCATGCAAAGTATAAGATACACACACCATTATAAAGTAATCCATAAAATTGTATGGAGTGATGTACACGGCACACTTATAAATACCTGCGTCTCTGGATGATTCAATCTCAAGCTATCACATGCTTCTCTATTGAAATCCACTGCCCATTTCTACAGTTAAACAAACTTCAGTATACTCATGATGTTTGATGTGATTTTAAAACATTACTCATATTTAAAAACTAAGACACTGGAGACGCAAATTGAAACTTACTGTTACAAGCTTAACACCATAGTTCACAGCTCCTAGACATAAACCAGTAGACATCGCACCACAGCCAGAATACAAATCAAGGAGGGTGTTTTCGTATACATGTTCTTTTATTTCTGCGGTGCTACTTTCACTGGACAGAATCGAATCCAATTCTCTGACAGCTTCAGCTGCATTATGATAATGATAAATTAGTAGGTCTCATCAGTTAGAAAGTCTGAAATTTTGTAAGACAATATAAAATAAATTTGATTCAATTGTCACTAGAATAAAATGGGAAAACAGAAACAAAAGAGGCAAGCGAGAGAAATACCATGTGGAAAGCTTATAAATGTTGAATAAGGTACATGATACATCATATCACAATAAAAGTCGCACTCAAGTGGAATCCTTTCTGTAGACTTGATATTCTCCTATACAAAGAATAAACATTAACATGAATTTAGGTAAATGGAATGTTGATCATGCTTATCAAGTACTCCATGCCAATCATGTTAAATCAATCATACATTGGGAGGAAAGCAAACTATATTCAACTTTCGAACAAGGCAATCGATGAGATTATCATCCTTAACTTCAGATAAGAAAACACGCTTGCTCTCAATGAACTTGTCAAGTGATTTAATAACCTGATGAATGAACTATGTCAGATCAGCATAACATTAGAAAGCATCTGAATCATATCAATTCTACAACTTCTAATTTCTTACAGTGTCCTTAGCTCGGTAGAACCATTGAGCCGTGAAATAACGCATTCCATCTAAATCTTCAAACATCTCAACGATTTTACAAATATAATTGTCTTTACCTTCCTCACCCTAAAGACAATAAATCATAAAGAAATATAAATAAACATTGCATGGATCCATGGTAGTCATAGTTTGTAAGGCGTCGCCTAGGCGATAAGGCACTGTCATTGGGACACCTTGTTTTCTCGCCTCGCCTAGAAAACCATAAGGCGACCAGGCGTTCGCCTAGGCATCGCCTTACCTCGCCTTGATGCCTTGGGCCCCTTTAAAATTTTGAAAAAACCCATTTTTTTGAGCAGCCCATTTTCTTCCAGTGTAGCCTAATAGACTTAAACCTCCCTCCCTCCCTCCCTCCCTCTCTCTCTCTCTCTCTCTCTCTCTCTCTCTCTCTCTCTCTCTCTCTCTCTCTCTGA